CCCCAAAACCCCAAAACCCCAAAACCCCAAAACCCCTTAAAGATTTTTTCGCATTGAAACATTCTTATTCATTGCTGTGTTGGCTAGGTACTGCTACTGGTAATCACCTGTGCTCTGACAAGAATTTCAGAACCATTTTGGAAAGCTCATGAGCTTTAGGCACAGCCTCGTTTATAGGACCCATGAAGTTTAGTAAGCGGACTATCACAGGTGAGCTAGTCGATGTGTCCATTTGGTTCATATGCCCAGAGTTCTTCCAAGAGATATCCTGTACCTGATCATTCCCTTGTTTACAATTTGTTACAAACTTTGTGGTAATTTCATTATTATCGTAATAATCTTTGACAATTGGACTATTCTTAAAGGTCTCAGAAGTTACAAGTAACAAAGGCTGCTCAACCTTGTAGCCATCTGTTTTCATGATTTTAGACAGTTTTCCCATATAATATGGGTCGTGAGCTACACAAAATTTGAGAGCTAGATCTCCAGAAAGAGTCTTGATAGTCTGGCATGATTCAATACCTGTCATCGCACCAAGGGAATGACCGTACATAACTAGCTTTTGGGGATCCAGATATTTTGCAAATTCACACTCAAGGATGTACTCATAAAGCGTTTCGATATCTTTAGTTCTATTATCAACTGAGAGGGAGAAGTATTCCTCTCTGTCTTTGTATTTCCTTCCAGCTAGGTCGATGTTGGTCTTGGCATCAATATGATTGTACAAAACCCTTTTTGGAGGATCTTGGTTATAATCACAGGTAAACTCACAACTTCCATCAGTGTGGCTGATGGCAAAGACAATTCAGCCATAGCTTGCAAGGTACCTTCAATTTGTGGTATAATAGTTTTTAGAGCCAGCCAATCCAGGTGAAAAAATAACTGGAGTAAGCTTTTTACCTCCATTTCTGAAATCCTTATGTAATTCAGATGATAAAATTGCTCTGATTCTGGAATATTTTAAGTCTTCTATAACAGGCTTCAACTTGTCTGGATCGCTTGGGAATAGAGATAAAAGGAAGGGATGAGCGTCAGATGATCCTGGTAGCCCTGCAACACCTATAGATCCTCCTTCAATAGCATCTTCACCTTCAACAAGGAGTTCTTGAGTAAAGCTAGGGTTTTCAACTTTTGCATTGTACTCTTCTTTGTTGATAGGATAGTAAACCAGAATACGAGGAGTATTTCTCTTACCTTTGAGTATAATATCTTTGATTCCAATTCCGTATGGGCCATCTGGCTCAACTATGAAGTAAAGCCCATTGTAAATCATTACTAGCAGAAGGGCATATCCAACTCAATCTGTGAGAACAAACTGGATAACTGTCCCTTCAAACTGAGGGAATAAATAACTGATACAATAGAAAAAAAGTATGTTCATGATTCTCAGCATTGGGAACAAAACATAATGAGTTCTGATCTTCATAAAGGATATTTTACAAATCTTTAGCGTCATTCACACTAATATTGCTGAAGTTGAGTATCAAGGAATATTCTGCAGCACACTTGGGTCTTCCTCTCCATGACCTAAAATCATGCTAACAAGGTTAATAGTCTTTGCTTGCATTCCGAGGTACAGGATGGCCAAGAGACACTCAAATCTCGTGATGAAATACATATTTGGCTTCAATATTATATAAAGCGTCTGGGGTTTTGGGGTTTTGGGGTTTTGGGG